CTTCTTGGATGGGCAATAGCACTTTCTTTTAAAGTTATGATGGGGTAATTGTGCTTGAACAAAGTTTTAAATAGCTTGATATTTATGTTTGCATTGTGGAAATGGCTCCAATGACATTGCTAAGTCACCACTACTGATATTATTTTATCTTGATGATAGGTACGAGTTGTCTCCCCTGATAAAGACTTTTTTCAGATATTGTCTCCTTCATTACGGCTACTTCGAATTGCTCCACGTGGTGATCAGTTAGTATCTGGCTTAATCTCTGTTTTTTTGTGCTTCTAATCATTCAATGCAATAACTGATAGCACTCTTTTTGGACTTTAATACAACGAGAACCGTATGATAACCATTCTCTGCTTACCCTTTTATATGTGGAAATTGATATTACCATAGCAAAATTATTGATAACAAATGGATCCATTTTGTACATTTAGAACTCTCTGGTTTTGCACTTTTAAAAGAGTGGCAATGTAAATATTATGTTAACTCATGTTTCCCTTTCTCTTGATATTGCTTTTTGAATACTGCATGGACTTTTTTTTTTGGGTAAACTAATAGTGAAAAATCTATATTAAATGGAATAGTATTTTCATTGCTAATTGTACCTTATTAGGAATGTAATGCCAACCCATGTTGCTCTCTCTCTCAATATTACTTTTTGATTTGAGTATTGCATGAACATAATCATAAACTAATGATGAAAAACCTATATTACATGGAACATAATCGATGTTGAATGCTTAATAACAATTAAATAATATGCTTCATAAATCAAATCAAAACATAGTTGAACAAGGCTAGCACACAGTTTTTTAAAATTTTATAGCCTTGTAATCTGTTTAGCTATTATGGTTTGAAATTTACAATGTAGTTTATTATGTTTTACTGTTTCTTTTTTTTCAACAGGATGGTATCATTTGGTGTCGAGGATTTTGCAAATAGATATGGAGGCTTAAAACCATCCCAGTTCGCAGATATGATTGCACTTTCTGGGGATAGATCTGACAATATTCCAGGTTATTTTGTGCTCCTCTATTTGTAAGGTCCTTTTTCCAAATCAAGAGGACCAAAATAGATCAGGTGTACGCCTATGAAATCAATATGTATTGATTAGGGCCTGTTAGAATTGGTGTTGTCAGGAGTGTTTCTACTAGTATTGATCTATATTATTAGTATAAAAATGGTATTAGGTCAGTGATTTATTGTCATATCATTGTAAGATAAACTCAAGTGCATCTTGAATATTCATCAATGAAGGTAACAAAATACCTAAAACCAAAAGAGGAGACGGGACTAGGTCCCCAGATTTCATAATAGATAATCTAGAAACTAGAATTACACATTGATTGATACTTTTTAGGAAAGGTAGATCTAACATGTTTTTGACATTACTCACATTCTAAGGTCTGGAGACCAAGTTCAGGATACATTTTTTTTTTAATTTGGAGAAATGAGGATGGCAAACCGATCATGCAACATTTTAGGGCTAGGAGCAACAACATAGGACACCCTTGAAAGAGATCCAAAATGGTATAATCTTCCAGCTTCATATCCTTTTCCAATCTATCTCCTCGAACCACGCTCCTGTATAATAAAAAATTTGTGATCGAAAGTTATTGAACAATTTATCATTTTGGTTAACTTGCTTAAGGAAATTAAATTGAAAGAACAATTAGGGACAGAAAGGATAGAGTTCAAATTCAAGGAAGGAGACAGGGAAACATGACCAACTCTTCTTGAGGAAGTTTTAAAGTCATTTGCAAAGGTTATGAAACGAGATTTTTCTTGAAAGGAAATGGTTGAGATCAAAGAGGTATTACCAAAAATGTGATCAGAAGCACATGAGTCAACTACTTATGAATTTTGACCTTCCATGAATTGAGAAATGCAGGATGTTGATGTACTAGAAGGAATCTCATCTCGAGTGGCCATTCACATTTGTATCCTTAGGATTGGAAACATGATTATTTGTATTTTTATAGCCAAACTCATGAATCATAATTCCCATGGAATAGGGACAAGTTAAATAAGCTTGTGGAATTTTGACAATTATTTATAAATGCAGGAGTTCATGGAATTGGAGATGTTCATGCTGTGCAATTACTCAGTCGATTTGGTGAGGTTTTATTAACTTAAATAATCTATATTGTTGCAGATGTAACAGTGCTTTCTTTTAATTGTTTTCCCCTTTCAGTGACGTTCTTGTTCTATCTATAGATTGTTTTAAAAATTATTGAATAACTTTTATATTGGGTATACGTGGTTTACATGTTATAATATAGTAGTCCAAATAATTTAACTTTGAACACACCCACTTGTAACAGATTTTTCTTTGTAGTTTTTTTATTTTGTACCTTGTATATTTTTTAATCCATATATGGTTGTAATATATCTCTTCACGTATATGAGCAGGCACATTGGAGAGGTTGTTGGAATCTGTTGATCAAATTAAAGAGGATCGCATTAGAAAGGTTTTCCTGACTGATATTATGCTTCGTGTGCTAGTTTGCTCACATGATTAATAAAATGTTCTCATTGAAAAATTTATGTCTGGTTCAACATGATTAGTGAGGTTTACTGTTGCATTTTACCTCACAAATCTAGTGTTATTCTTCCCCGTCAACACTAATAATATTGGTCTCACATGTGCCATTTTCCTTCTAGGCGTTGATTGAAAATGCTGAGCAGGCCCTCTTAAGCAAGGAACTGGCAAGCATCTCAGTCTCTTGATTTATTTCTTCACCTTTACTTTTTTTTGTAGCATCTATTTGTCCTGTTATCTACAGTTTTTTCTCATGCGTCAGTACCTTAAATTATCACAGGCCTTGTTGCGGTCTGATCTTCCATTGTACATGGTACCATTTGCTGTAGAAGATCTCTCGTTCAATAAACCAGAGGTCTGGGCATCGAAGGCAGTTTAAGTTTCCAATTTGTATCTTTTTAGTTAGTTATTAGCTTGATTTTTCTAGTCCAATTATAGATTTGTTTTAAAGATCATTTATCAGTATCAAGTTTTTGTGCTATAAACTTACCCACGTTGGTCATAAACGGGTTGGTCGTTGCCATTAATGCAATGGAGATTGTGATAAGCAGCAGTAAAAAAGCTTATGGTAGTAATTTGATTTTCTTCCGTCCTAGATGGGGGGAAACCTTGTGATCAAATCATATTTTAGTTATCAATTTAAATACAATATTATATCAGTAGTATAATTTTTTGAATGTTTTTTTTAACTCAATGAAAATAATCGTGTACAGGACAATGGTAGTAGATTCAACAGCCTATTAACAGCGATTAGTGCTTACGCAGAAGGGTTTTCAGCTGATCCCCTCATCAGGAGAGCAGTTCATTTGTGGAGAAAGTTGGAGTCAAGATGAAATTCAGAGTCGTTAGGTTTTCTTGTACAAAGGGGATTTGTTTTTAGAACATTGCAATACTTGAGCAAGATTACACAACATGAGGGTATTAAAGTGTATACAGAAAGCAGAGTAAGTTCTTGTCACCTATGCATTCCTTCGATCTTATAAGTATTTGTAATTTAGATGTAATTTGACACGCAAGTATATATTTTTGTTCGAGGTAAAAATGATATAAGTGGGCATTAGGTAGAGCAGGAAGAAGTGTGACAAGAAGTACTTTGCAGAAGGATGCTAATGTAATTTTTTGTTCAGTTAAAATGGAATTAAATTCAGTTTTTCAATTTGGAATATTAAAGTTGTATTCAGATCTAAATTTTATTTATTTAGATAAAAAATAAATGCAGTACGAAAATGTTGAAGTTGTCCCGAGCAATTTTTAGACTTCTGTCGTTACGTCCCGAAACTTTTTTTTTGTAATAAGCACCTAGACGGAAACATTATTATAATATCTATTTTACTTTGTAAATGTCATTGTAGGTGTTTCGAAAACATCACCTAAAAAAGAATTCAAGACCCTCCTAAAATTATTTCAGAATCATAATTTTGTCATGAAATCTTCAGCATCTAATGATGAATATAATCAGGATATTCAGAAAATTCAATTCTAAACGAATTCACTGATCTAGACCGAGAATCCTGAATGAATTATAATCTACTTCATCCAATCATCCCTAAGTTTCATATCAAGAGCATTCATTAATCACAACTTAAGAGTTTCTTGAACACTTATGATGATTCTGGAATACAGTAAGATTGATACTTGAATGGTCTTTCTGGAGGATTTTTGAGAATAATATTATTAAATTCTTTTTAGAATAATATATTGATTCCGGCATACTCTTTCTGGAAGGATGTTATTAAATTTTGGTATGCCACACTGTAAGTTAAAAAATCACTTAGGACTACTAGGCCATTTCACACTGAGAAATAAAAGATGAGAAGAACTTGGTCATTTCACACTTTTTGAGAAGCGATGAGATTTTTCCTGAGCTGAAAGAAAACAAGGATCAGTAGGGGTATTTATTAGGTTAAATTACCAAATATCTCAATACCACCTAACCTAATCTAAATTAATTAGGTCAACTGTTTTTTATAAATTAAATGGAACCCGATTAATTCTACAAGTTGGGTAACATTATTTATGTTCATCACAGCAACACTCAATCCAATCAAAATTATTAATAATACTAACAATAATAATAATCATATAACTATTATTTAACTAAATATATTTCAAAATATCATCATTTAAATACTAAAATATTAAATAATATAATCTGCTTTTAAAAAACATTTTAAAATATCTAGCAAAACATACTTTGAAATTACAAATTTTAATAATAAAAAATCAAAACATATTATCGAATTCAACTCAATTTTTGTTACAAAATTAAGAAATAAACTTGTCCACACCCCAACCCAAATCAACCCTTTGTACACCCTGTGTATTAGTTGTTAATTAGTCTATTCTGTTTACACAGGCTTAGATGCACGTTTTATCTGTCTATGGGTCACGCAAAAGAAAGTGTTCCACAATAGTGCTATTCTTTTTTGATAAATATAAAACTAAAAAGTTCACATTTCAAGAAAGGATGAAAAAGCAAAATTTGTATACTTACTAGTTTGTATACAGTTGTTAATAATCCACAGGCTCTATACCATACTAGCTTCATTAAATCTCAAATCTTGTATGTTTCTCAAAAAACTAGTATCATCATCTTCATACAGATGTAATGCAACTATGCCCTCTTCTTTGATGCCCTCGTGAGAGTTGGTCTATTCAGTTTGGTATCTGCAGATGTCTCTGATTTTTCTTCAGCAACACTATTTTCAGCATCTGACCCTTCCAACTCAGTGCCTCGAGTTTTAATCAAATAATGAGCCACAGATTTGAAACCCAGCTTTGACACCTTACAAAAATTCAAATTTAGTGGGATTGATCAGTTCCAGCATTCAAATTAAGTGGCAACAAAACAAAGGGTGAAGAATTTTTCTTTGAAGAATGTTGAGGTAAATTCATGCACTCATTTATAATGACCTGAAGTTGTTTTTATCCCATATACCAATCAGATTGAACAGAAAAAACAACAAAGGAATCATATCCTACCAAGTTATATTGATTACATGTATCATATAGTATTGGACTCAGTTATACATAACATATAAGAATTGTAATGGTTCACTAACGTATCTCAAAATTTAAAGTCATTCTTGGTTCCATCTTATGATACAAACACCTAGCTAACCGAAACACATCAAACTTTACGATTCAAATCATAAATTATCAGATTCTGTCCTAACAAAACAAGTATGTTGTGCAATACTAACCTTACTGTATATGTTGCCAGTAGGCCTCCAACCTTTTCCCCTGCGGCAACGACTGCAGTTGCAAATTCCTCTACAAGGAGGGCAAACCCATTTGTTGTTACGGTTGGCTTCCATCACATTTTCTCCATATCTATAAAATATCAGTAGAAAGGGACTACCATCAAACTTCACAAAATGACAGTCGTTGACACAACAAAAGGCTGAATGGGGAAAATCTGAACCTCAGCTTAAACACTTACCTCATGTACAAGCAATCTCCACAAAATTTCCCTTGGAGTAATTCGCATTTGTTGCAATGAGTATGCTGGCCAAGAGTTTTCTGCCTGCATGTAAACAAAAGACTTATGAAAAACTTTGCCCTGAAACAAGTATCATATGGAATACATTAACTAGTTCTACAAAAAGGAACTAAGTCTGCTCTTCAATCAAAACATATTTTCCCCAGTCAAGGTACAAGACCATTCAAATGGCATACAGGTACTATTTGCAGGAAAAACCAGTGGCTAAATTGCAAAGCCTTCTCATTCCAAGTTTTTCAAGATCAAACATAAAATATGTCAAATATACTAAGCATATTAAAGAAGATTTGCATTCTAAAAATGAAACATCAGAGAAAAAGAAGATTCAGGGAATGAAATTGGAATCTGAATTATGTTTATTACAAATAGAGCACACAGGTTAAAAGAAATAAACATTTAACTTACAACATAAATAAAGCAGGGAGAAGACACATGAAAGTTCTAAATACTAATACAAGTATACATGAATCTCCATGTAACAATGTCAGCTTCTAATTTTTGTTGTTGCTGTCAAAATAAAGTGTAATAAATGAAAATAATACCTACATAGTGAACCATGTGCAATGAATAGTACCTGCATTGATGGCATGTCTCTCCTTTGATTGGATCATATATACGGTTCCCATCCTCATCATATCCATCCACATACAATTCCCAAGCACTCTCACAGTCTCCCAGATGCTCCTCATGCTCTTCAGTGTAAACTTCAGGGTTTGTACCTTCTGGTATACAAATCTCTACGACACCGTTTTCCTTACTTGCAGATTCACGATTTCTCTCAGAATAGTTAATTGGTACCAGGTTCATTATTCTGCAAACCCATGAAATTGTCAATTACATTTTAGGTACTTAAGATATTTCTGAAGTATTTTTTGAATCTTTATCTCAACACAAGTAAAAGGTGACAATGAGCATATACATAATGTCACTTCATGATTAGAAAAAATTTAATTTTAAAAGTGTATCTTAGCATGAAAACACAATCCCTAACATTAAATTATAAAACATCAATATACTTGTTTTTTTTTTACATTGACTCTATACTCATCCACGTCTCCTTTGCCTCCAAAATGGAAGTGGGTTTCCAGTTGCAAATAGAAAGGGAAAAGGCAATATCTTTGAGGAGAAAGGAACTAACCCACAAGGAAAGGTTGCTCCTTTTGGCGTTCCATAGAGAGCAAAACAAGTATAAAGAAAGAAATGAAAAGAATACCTGGAGGAGCGTCTCTGGGGCGAATGGTTGGGTTGGACGGCCTTCTTTTTTTTGGGGAGATAGTTTCGTTTTGGGCATTTGAGTTTGAGAGACAAGTCGAACAAGCCAAGCTTGTGCATTCTCTCCATGTTGTCTTTGATCCTTTGGTCCCTAGCTTGCTCGTAACGTAAAGAATCATCTTCTCTTTTGGACCCTTCTTCACTTTGGGAGTCGCTACCATTAGCATTATCGAGGGAAAGAGAAGAAGGGGGTTCTTCTTCTTCCCTCTTCTTTTTGAGAGTGCCCATTCTCATTCTGGGATGGTCTGAGTTTTTAGGTTTGGGACTTCCTTTGTTTTGGGTTTTAGGAAGGTGAAATGGCGGGAGTCCAAAACCTCGGAAATATTCCAATACTAAATTATCAGTTTGGGATTTTCTTTTAATTAAAAATTAATTGTGTTAGGTGGAAAAGGGTAGGGTGGAAACCGCATTAACTATTCAGACTAATTTTTCATTGTTAATATTTCAATCTTATAAGTCAAGTGATCCATAACCATGGATGTAACTTTGTTTTCAAATCTTTGAATAAATTGAATTTCTTGAGAAATTATGAGAATGTTGAGTCCTTATGAGAGTGCGATAGGATCTTATCTTTACATCTTTAGTGATGTTTAACTTCTCACTCATCTTAAGTTTATTCCAGTAATGTAATTCTTCATATCTTTTCTTCATCACTTGAATTCTCTTTAACTAAAGTTTATTTCATTTTTGTTCAATAAAATCCATGACTCAAACCTTTTAGTAAGTTTATCTTTTGAAAATCAAACATAGAGGGAGATTATTCCAGTTAAGGTTACAATCTTATGATGATGTTGTTCCAATTGATTCACCAAAGGATTTAATGGATATATGAGGTGCTTCTTCTTCCATGGTTGTACTTCTTTGTATAGGTATCCATAAAGGATAATTGAAGATGTATGCTTTAGAGTTATCACTTGTTAGAACTTTCTTAGTGGGTCATGACTTTCTTTTTACAACCTCGGACTTGTGGTATATAGAAGTGGTTGAAACATATTCTTTTATTTTATTGAATGTCCATGTTTATAGCTAGTACATGCATAAACATTTTTATAAGATAGACATAGCGGATCAAAATATACAATATGACATCGAAAGGATATAATTAGTGTAGAATACTTTTCAAATTGTCAAACTGTGTCTATTATATTTGGCTTGAGTTATTCGAAGATTGACGCTTAGTTAATAACATCCTTTGTTAGGTACTACAATACAATTTTTTACTCTTAGTTCTCTTTAGAAAATCATTTAATCTTTGGTGTCTAACCCTACATTCATTTGTTTTGCTTTAAAATATTTTATTTGATATTCTTCCTATTTTATTTTGCTTCTTTTTAGAAGGATGTGTCATCATAACTTTCACAACTTTTCTTCTTGTTTTCAAGAATTCATATCTTAGGTCTCAATGGACAAACTTCTAAGATCATGAAGAATATGGTCATTTTTTAGTTGATAAGTTCGTTGTCTAATGTTTCTTGTTATCTTTGTAGTGGTGTGTAATGCTTCTTGAAAACTTCGTCTATTGTTTGTATTCCTATTTAATCTTTGGTGTCTAACCCTACATTCATTTGTTTTGTTTTAAAATATTTTATTTGATATTCTTCCTACTTTATTTTGCTTCTTTTTAGAAGGATGTGTCATCATAACTTTCACAACTTTTCTTCTTGTTTTCAAGAATTCATATCTTAGGTCTCGTGGACAAACTTCTAAGATCATAAAGAATATGGTCATTTTTTAGTTGATAAGTTCGTTGTCTAATGTTTCTTGTTATCTTTGTAGTGGTGTGTAATGCTTCTTGAAAACTTCGTCTATTGTTTGTATTCCTATTTTTTTTTTTTGTCTTCTATCACAATCTCATTAATCCCTTATGATTTGTACTTTAATCATGACTTGTATTTTTAATAAGGACTTTCTGTTAGACATGATCAAGAATATCTGAGTTTTTTTTTATGCTTGTTGCACACTAGATAAAGGATATTAAACACTGTTAGTATTTTGAAGGTTGTGAAAGGAGTAGTTGATGTGGTAGAGAAAATGTAGAGATAGTAGAATGTAGAAGTAGTAGTTGAAAGAAGTGTTGTAGTTGTCTTTAGTTGTAGTAGATGTTGGTTCATACAAATGATAGATGTTGGCTACATACATCAAATGGTAGAGTTCATGGGTATTTATAGACCCATAGATTATTCTAGAACATACTAGCCACAACTTATGTGGAATGTTCTAGATTTTTACCTATGTAGAATATTCTTGATTTTTCTTCCTATCTTAGGTTTTTCTAGAATATTCTAGAACTTGTATTACATTTCAATTCTTCTATTTAAGGAGCTTCTACATTCTTCTAGAATTTGCATTACACTTTAATAAACACACACAGTTTCTTGTTTGTTATTATCTAGTGTCTAATGACAAGACTTAAAATATTTAAGAATTTTATCTTATTAAAGTTTAACTCATCTTTGCCTTAACATTGGAATCAAGGTGTCTGACCCACAAGTAAGTGTAAATGAGATTTCCTTGGTAGAAGATAGAAAGGTGCATTAATGTCCTCACTCTTTAGTCCACAACCACAAGCATTTGGCTTGTCTGAACTTCATTTTAAACTCATTTTAGATTCTTTTTTGGTTGTCGATCATTGATCATTTGTTTGTCAGTGTTGTACTTATTATATTTAATCCTTTGTTTCGCAGTGTTGTAGGAACTCCTTAAAACTTCCATTGTCATTTATTGTCAATAATGATTAAATGAAGAAGGTCATGTTACAGTTCGAGCGACTAATGGTTCAATTTCAATCATCTTGGTAAAGTAATCAATAAATAAGATAAAGAACTTGACTTGTCTTTCGACCAAGGGTAATAGGCTAAGAATATCCATTACACTGGTCAAGGCTAAGGACACCTATGTTTAGGAGTAAATTTCTCGTCGCACCAAAAGAAAAGTCCATTGTCCCTCTTAACCTATTGTTCTACTAGTGTGAGTCTCTTTACTTGATTATCGTTGGGATTTATTGGGGGTTTGTGAAGTTGGAAAGGAAGGGAAGGGAAGGGTGGGCATTGAGCCTTCACTTCTCTTTTAATATCCATGCTTAACCCAATAATAAAGCAATCTCTTAGAACCTCTAGATGTTCAATATTTGTGTGATTTGCTAATGTAATGAATTTCGAGTAGTAATGTGAAATAGTACCTTGTTGTTGGAGCTTGAAAAGTGACTCACGTGGTGATCCAGGTCTGAACTCAATCTCAATGGAGTGTTTCAGTTATGTCCATGATTGGAAGTGCTCGAGCATTGTTGCATCTGAAACCACGGAATAGTTGAACCTGGCATGTGCATTCCAACAATGGCGATCTGTTGTTCGTTTGGAATTTGATAGAACGAGAAATATTGATCAACATTAAATATTCAACCAAGTGCATAAGTTGATTGGAAACAGTTGATGATTTGAAATGTGGACGTTATTGTGGGACTTCGCACCATGGTTGTGCTCCTGGTGGGATGAAGAATCGTGATTGGAGTTTAGATTATGCAAAACCAAAGCTATTGGTTGTTGAATTGCATCCATCCTACATTAATTAACCTCATTTATTCGAGCCATTTCAACTCGATGGGCTTCTGCATTTCCTTTTATAAGTTGGTAGAGTTTAGCTCGATGGGCTTCTGCATTTCCTTCTATAAGTTGGTAGAGTTTTGTAATCTTAGCTTCCATTGTCTTCATCCTTGTACCTTCAACCATGCTCAATGAAAATACCCAATGTTAGGTATTAATTTTTAATACTAGAGAATGGTTTGCACCCGTTGGTGGTATTAATAGTGAAATAAGATTCAATACAATAGTAATACTTAAACCGATAAAAGTAGCATAACGTAAATAGCTTCACCAAACAAATACACTTTTCTAAAATAAGAATTAAGTCGTGACAATAACGAGCTTGCAACCACTGCTTCACTCCATTTGCTTGACATCTGAGAAGGAGCATGAAGATTAAAAGGGGTTTTCAAGAAAGAAGAGAAAAAACACTGAGAGAGGAAAATTACCACAATTTTCCTTACAGACAAAGTCACGTAACCAAGTATTTGAGACTGACTCCTCATGTTGCTCTTCCTTGACTCCATGATTCCAAGATCGGTTGCTACCTGTCTTCCTCCTTGTAACTAACTTTGAATTTGTCTCATTGAGCACTAGACCTTCCATGTGAGCATCCTTTCAACATTTGCATTAGTAGCCACCTCAACACTATTTTTCTTTCTTACATATGCATTTATTTTTATGTAGTTCCCTAACATAATTTCAAAATTTTGATATAGCTTATTCTATAACATTTTTTTCCACTCAATCTCATTTACATAGTACTTATAAACCATATATTACATTCTTCCATTATGTACTTTAATGGTTTTTAATTAACTTAAACTATCATGAGATAACTTTGATATTTTTAAAATTAAAAAGACGCCGGAATACATTTGTGGGGGTATAGGAAGAATCGGCCCTTAAAATTATTTATGACATAATATGAATGCATGTACTGAAATGCAAAAAACTATGGTACATATAGAGGATTAACAAAGAGAACCAAATAAAATAAAATCCCAAATATCAACGAATAAAGAATATTCACTAGAGGACTTTCTGGAGTCTTTAACAATACAAAATCCCCATGACAATGGGTATATATGCCTAACCACCAAACAATTGTCTCTCTGTACACGCCCTACACCTAAGTTTTATACAGTTGGACATTGATGCAGAACCATATCTTGCAGGTTACATCCCACCAGCAAAGCCATAAAACGTGTTAGTCAATGTCAAAACCATAGCTGGCCACGTCATGTAGAAGAACTCTTTAAGGGTTGGTGAATGCTCAACACAACATTCCGCATCTCAGGGAAGATGGATACAAGTACAAGTTCCAAAATTGCATATGCAAGTTGCTTCACACATATATTAGACTGAACACAAGAAGATGGTAGAATTGTTGTTAGTATAGCAGAAAACTTTTGAAGAAGACAAAAAGAAAATCAAGGCAAACGGATGAAAGAAATTTGGAAAAAGTGAATAGAGCAATGGTTATTGAGTAGAGATATAACCTGACTGAAGTAGTATACATCCCGGGCACAACGTCTGTACTGCTTATGGCCGATTAAGCTGACCAAAGTTGTTGGAGCTCCATCTGGTAAGAATTGAAATTTTACAGGTCAAAAGTCTGGGAATGTAAACTCTCACAATGCTACTGCTATTCTCATTTACATCAACAAAAGATTCTAAAGACTGTATGAAGAACATGGATGTTACATGGATGTACAATAACATTCAAAGACCTTCTTC